TGGATAACATATGAAGACAAAGTAATGAAGTCAATGGTGTAAATAAGGTGTCAAAATATAAATCACAGCAATATGCTATGCTACTGGCTATACTTTATAAGATATATACTTCAGTTAACCATGTTCTTAGTACAAGTTGTTAAGTATAATCTACGAACGTGGGATCCTTGCATACAATAATTTACGTGCTAATTAGCCAATGCATTCTCTAAAAACATTGGAGTTTTATAATAACGTCATAAAAATGAACGAAATTTGATATTGAGGGAAAGCTTATTGTGCTATGTTCGCTGTCAGACAGTATTAACTCGGCGGTGCTGATTGGTTGTTAGTTAGGGTAAAGCATGGGATGATGCCTATGCTAACGGTATGCTAATGACCCAAAATGCATGTCAACAAAAGATTCGCTATATGTCTGAAATTAGTCCGAGCAAACTGAATCTTGACTACTTTCTGCATCGTATTCATGTTCATCACATTCGAAGAGAAGCTGGTCGCAGTTATCTTCAAACACGTATGAGACTCCTGATAATTCCAATGCCTGCAGGAAGTAGTAAAGAGTGAAGATGTTCTTTATTTTGGGGATGTTTTCCTCGTCCCTCATAGATTCATCGATGCATTCTTGTAGGATTTCAGTAACTGGACTAAACATGTCAAGCAAGGGTTGAAAATTTTGTGTGTCCATCAAATCAGTACATTGTATTTTGATCTCCTTTGCATCAGGAAGAACGAAAGTCAGGGTTAGTTCATACCAGGTTGGGTAACTTGCTCCATCTCCTCCCATTCCTCCATCTATTTTCAACACCGAGCCTCCTTTCATCCTAAAATGTGCTTTGTTGTCAACGTATTTGTCAGCAACAGAACCAGCAGAGTAATTTCCTATGAAGAGAGTTGTTCTGTTGACCAAGTCCAACATCATCTTCTTTGGAGCCTTTTTGAGAGAGTAGTCGAAGACTACCTCAGGAAATCGTCCAACATCTTCTTGCAACTGTCCTAATATGGCTGCCTGGGACTTCTGAACCAGGATCTCCAGAGCATGAGCGATTATCTTTGCAGAGGAACACTCCTCATTTTCTCTCAACCATTTCTCAAGAGATTCAAGAGATTCTTTAATTCTTCCCAACTTATTTTGACGATAAAGTTCAAAGAGTGGTTGGAGTGATTCCAGGCTTGGCATTGCGTTCTTAGCTTCATCTTTGAAGTAAATCCTGTGCTCCTCTTCCAAACAAGGGAAACGAAAGCACATCCAAACAAAGAATTTATCTGTTATTGGTGGGACTGTATCGCCGAGTTCTTTCTGAAGAAGCTCAATTACTGGTTTCATTGGGTCCACGACTGCTCTCAGTTCCTGCTCATCCCAATAATCATAGTCCTCTGGGATAATCTTATAAACTTCATTTTCGATAGCTAAATCACCGCATGAAACTTTCAATTTCGTTTCTCGGTCGTAGTTCCCAATATAATCCACAAAGTGGGATGTCCTAATCGATAAGTCTTGACCACAGACTGGCAAATGGAAGGTCTGTTCAGYGTATTCTGTTGAACATGTTTCTCTTGGTCCTTCGTCTCGCGTAACTGAATTTGAAGATTTGATCCACGAATAAAACGTGGCAGCGACGGGACCGCATGATTTCCACACATTGAGGACATCGTTGTAAGAAAGATCATCAATGCAGCATCGATTGGCTTTTTCGAGTAGAGAACGAAGTTGTTGTCTTGAATTGTATGCGCGGTCCTCATCGTTGTAAACTATGAATTTTCTGATGWAAAAATCAGCTTGTCTCTTGAGGACATTAATGTGCCAGTTCCTTTTACTTAGAGCCAGTTGGTTGAACAGTTTGCAAGTCAAAGAGAAGCTGTGAAACGAGCTRAAATCGGTTAAATGAGACAAAATGTTACCCAAACAATCATCATTAAGCGAAAAAATCGATATCGATTCCATTTTCAAGCAGATTATTTACGTAAAAGAAAGAACTGACCCGTAACCTAACTTCGTCTTAGCATATGAATGAGCTTCTTTGCATTTACCGCCAGGCGTTCCTTATAAACATACAGGGAGCCCGGCCCATAACCATTCGTAATTGCTACAACTAGTAATATAACAAGGSTTTTGAAGTGAAATGAGCATAAAATGTCATAAGCTGTGGCATTCAAGTTAAGATCACAAAATGGTCATTCTCAGGTGAATAAAATTTAGCATTGGCATTACTTTTGAGACTGCTTAGTGATGCCATACACATAGTAGATCCTACGATTTAGAGTCCTACTATTCTAGAAGACAAGATCACAGTGAAANCTTGGTTTTAAATCAGTTTGAATCAATGTGCAGATATGCAGTATAGCATAGACTAGCCGTTCTTACGTGTGGGATCAAAATTCTTTCATTTGTGACAAATGCACATGGTCAGTAGAAGTTTAACATGCATAATCTCTGTTTTCGCATTTTTTTAGCTTTTTTCTAAAATGATAACAATTTCTGGATGTTGGAGTTCTAGAAGTAGTATAAAAAACTCGCAGTCGTGCTTTATCGGGGATATAGACACTCGGCCTTTGGCCTCGTGTCTATATCTCCCGATAAAGCACTCCTGCTCGTTTTTTAAACACTACATAAAAATGAACGAAATTTGATATTGAGGGAAAGCTTATTGTGCTATGTTCGCTGTCAGACAGTATTTAACTCAGTGCTGATTGGTTGTTAGTTAGGGTAAAGCATGGGATGATGCCTATGCTAATGATATGCTAATGACCCAAAATGCATGCCAACAAAAGATTCGCTATGTCTGAAATTAGTCCRAGCAAACTGAATCTTGACTACTTTCTGCATCGGATTCATGTTCATCACATTCGAAGAGAAGCTGGTCGCAGTTATTTTCAAACACGTATGAGACTCCTGATAATTCCAATGCCTTCAGGAAGTAGTAAAGAGTGAAGATGTTCCTTATTTTGGGGATGCTTTCCTCGTCCCTCATAGATTCATCGATGCATTCTTGTAGGATTTCAGTAACTGGACTAAACATGTCAAGCAAGGGTTGAAAATTTTGTTTGTCCATCAAATCTATACATTGTATTTTGATCTCCTTTGCATCAGGAAGAACGAAAGTCAGGGTTAGTTCATCCCAGGTTGGGTAACTTGCTCCATCTCCTCCAATTCCTCCATCTATTTTCATCACCGACCCTCCTTTCATCCTAAAATGTGCTTTGTTGTCAACATATTTGTCAGCAACAGAAAGAGCAGAGTAATTTCCTATGAAGAGGGTTGTTCTGTTGACCAAGTCCAACATCATCTTCTTTGGAGCCTTTTTGAGATAGTAGTCGAAGACTACCTCAGGAAATCGTCCAACATCTTCTTGCAACTGTCCTAATATGGCTGCCTGGGACTTCTGAACCAGGATCTCCAGAGCATCAGCGATTATCTTTGCAGAGGAACACTCCTCATTTTCTTTCAACCATTTCTCAAGAGATTCAAGAGATCCTTTAATTCTTCCCAACTTATTTTGCCGATAAAGTTCAAAGAGTGGTTGGAGTGATTCCAGGCTTGGTATTGCGTTCTTAGCTTCATCTTTGAAGTAAATCCTGTGCTCCTCTTCCAAACAAGGGAAACGAAAGCACATCCAAACAAAGAATTTATCTGTTATTGGTGGGACTGTATCGCCGAGTTCTTTCTGAAGAAGCTCAATTACTGGTTTCATTGGGTCCACGACTGCTCTCAGTTGCTGCTCATCCCAATAATCGTAGTCCTCTGGGATAATCTTATAAACTTCATTTTCGATAGCTAAATCACYGCATGAAACTTTCAATTTCGTTTCTCGGTAGTAGTTCCCAATATAATCCACAAAGTGGGATGTCCTAATCGATAAGTCTTGACCACAGACTGGCAAATGGAAGGTCTGTTCAGCGTATTCTGTTGAACATGTTTCTCTTGGTCCTTCGTCTCGCTTAACTGAATTTGAAGATTTGATCCACGAATAAAACGTGGCAGCGACGGGACCGCATGATTTCCACACATGGAGGACATCGTTGTAAGAAAGATCATCAATGCAGCATCGATTGGCTTTTTCGAGTAGAGAACGAAGTTGTTGTCTTGA